AAGATGACTTGGATAATAGCGCGTTGTGACGTCACAAACCAGTAGGTGGCAGTAGTGTTCTTTGACAAACATGGATGCCTCCAGGAAAGGACATTCAGATGACAATTACTCTTAATTAATAACACTTCATTTATTGAACAGTACATACCGTAATTTTCGGACTATAAGCCGCAACTTTTTCCCCATTATTCGACCTTGCGGTTTATCTATGGACTTTTACAGCTAACAGCCTCTAGCGTAACACCTAAATCTATGGATATTACCATCCACCATGTTGACGTCATATTTGCTTCAACACACAAGTACGGTAGCCACGTGGGGGTAATGCCGAGGTCCTCCGGAAGCGGACTGCTACCGCGAGTGGTACGAGACAGAACGACGGCGAGAAAGACGGACATTAAACATAAAAAACCTGCGGCTTATAGTCCGGTGCGGCTTGTATATGTACAAATCATGCAATTTAGCTTCTGCGGCTTCTATTCAGGTGCGGCTAATAGTCCGAAAATTACGGTAATAATTTTATATTTAAAGTACTTTCAGAAGTTTGAATTCAACGCACAGAGGAAATCTGTTTTTCTCACAGCGGACAGTCGAACCTTTCTCCCCGGTGGTTTCAGAGTAGCGTAGGGTCACCTTCTCATTCTTGATCGCAGATTCGTTCCACGGACGCTCTCCTCTCTCCGGACCTGGAGCAGCGCAGCGCGTAGATCCCTCTGTCAGTGTTAAATGCGCGAGTGAAAGCGATCCTCCAGGAGTTGATCTTTATACGGTCTAAGTGCTTCATCACTTTCCTCTCTGAGAAGTAGCCGCCGGATTCAAACACCCACAGGAGTTCCCCCGACTCCCCAGGCTCACGGCTTCCAGGAAATATGAACCGATCTTCCAGAATCACTGCAGACGGACAGCGAGGAAGAAAACAAAGGCAGAGAGGAATCCTTATTGTATGGTTTATTTTTTGGGGTCACCAGCTGAAATGTTTGGAAACCCTCGTATTAGAAGTGATCCATTTTTCAAACAATGTCTCCATAGGTGTCTTGATGAGCTCTTCTAAATATATGTCTGTTTTAAAACTTTGACTAATTAATTCTGTTTGTTTTAGGTCTGGACAGCAAAACCTTGTACAGAAGAGAAAGCCCCTCAGACGGCTCGGTGTACACTCTGAGCACCGGTGAGCACATTGATTGGGTTGGAAAATATGCCAAAGGGTGTGAGCACACACGAGCTGAGGTCATATCTTTGTTGTTCAGAAGGCGATGCTGCTCAGGGCGACGTCGCTTCCTTGTCTGAGAGTATCCTGAGCTACCTGAGAGAGCTCCCATCACCTCTCATCCCTGAATGCATCTATCCGCAACTTCAAGCCGCCATCTTGCAGCAGTCAGGAGGTCGGTCCGATGTTTAGAAATGTGTTTGAGCTTTCCGTTGTTTTTGTGGCTTATAGTATTCTGAATAACTGTAGAAGGAGCTGTTGCTGCGGGTCATGACAGAGAGGTCAGTCGTGTTCTGGAGAACTCTACGGAGGTGCCTCTTCATCATCGCCTCACCCTGCAGTACCTCTTCACACACCTGACCAAGGTGGCCCAGGCTTGGGCCAGCAACGGCCTGGACGCTCACACTCTGGGGAAGGTTTTTGGACCCCTTCTGATTCGGACGGCCCCCTCTGCCCCGGGGTGAGTTATTACCTCTGATAGTGCATCCTTTGCATTTACAGGGATTAAAGTATTCCGGCCCCAGGCTGAAGCTATTAGGAGTG